TTACTAGTGTCCGAATGGATCTATTCCAGGTGAAATCTCGACGGTACCTTTACGATCACACCGACGAAGGATATAATCTCATCCCGTGGCGGAATAATGCATGGGTGGAAATCGCAGAGACGCTAGATTCCTCTCGTAAGTTCTCACTGATGGCTCTTTAAGGAGTTAGCTGAACATTTGTTACTGCTGAGTAGCAAGGCGATAGCGATGAGAAAAGTTTGTCGTTCAGCTCGACCCAATTTTTCTCACCCCAGTGCGACTGAAAACTAAACTAACTGAAGCCAAGCTAGAGCTCCAAAGTGACGTACACGCTATATCCAAAGGGTTACAAAGGGTGTGCCCGCGGCAAAGGTCCAGACAGAAGAGAGGCAACAAAGTTTGTTTAAGGGAGGAGAGTCGATACCGGTATACACAGCCGCCGCGGTCAGGACGCCCCTTTTTTGCTCGCCGGTATGGAACTTACATACCCGTCCTTTTGGGTTCCCTTCAAAAATAACTTTACAGACAGATGGAGAAACCATCCCTTGTTTTTTTCTGCAGACGCTGGCGCGTGTCAGCCAAACCGTGTTCGGCACGGCGCCAACCGGTTCTCCACCAGTTGTTGAAGCGAGCAAGCGACAACAATTGGGGGAAAACGGGCTGGTGCCGCGCCAAACCCAGCCTTCCTGACATGCCTTAGCTCTCCAGCGAAAACGACAGTACGGCGCACATCCTCGGTGATTGCTCGACCAGGCCGTGCCTTGGTTGATTGACGGATGCCCAATGACGCTATCAGGGTGTCAAACCTGTACTTAGAACCTAGCGAGCGAGCCGTTTTTGCCCACATGCGTCTACAAAAGAAATTTGAAAAAAAAATAAAATCGTGGAGTGATTCTTAGAAAAAAGTGAAACGTGAGAAGAAAAAAAAATGATTTTCAGCAGAACACGTGAAGACACGATGGAAAACCCTGCGGGACCGTTTCAAGAAAGAGGAGAAAAAAGAGAAAATGACTGGAAAGCCGGCCACATGGGTGTTCCAGAAGCCACTACGGTTTATACAAACAGTGCCTAAAGAGCTGCGAACGTGAGTCATATTGTAGTTTCTTTTCCATTGCTACAAGATAGCTCCTTCACAATTTGATTCCCTTTCTAACCGCGGAAAAGCTGATAAATTTATTATGCGCGCGTAAAATCAATAACTATTTCAAGAATTTGCTCTTGTATTCCACATGAAATGCGAAACATAACTGACTTATCTGGAGCTTCTGGGCGAATGTTAGGCTTTGGACGTTCAACTATTTGGCCTTTCAACTCTACCTTCAGCGCTCAGGGTGTACTGTAACTTTTCGTAATTTT